CTGATTATGTTTGCATTAGGGTTTAGCTGTGGGGTCTCCTTTTGTCTGGGGCTGATTAGGTCCATGGTTAATATATCCTCCCTGTGTAAAAGACAGTAAATCGTCCTTTAATGTATTTAATTCGCTTTGAAATTTACTAGTCTTTCTCTCAACTGTTTATTTTCTTTCTCCTGCAACCACTGCTGTAGACTCTCCTCTTGTTTCTTTTCTTTTTCCTCCAACAACTGCTGTAATCTCTCTTGTTTATTTTGCTGTTCGAGCTGCCACTGTTGCAGGTTTTCTTGTCACTGCTATTGCCTCTCTACTTGTTTCTTTTCTCGTTCTTCTCGTTTCTTGTTTTTTCCTCCAACAACTGCTGTAATCTCTCTTGTTTATTTTGCTGTTCGAGCTGCCACTGTTGCAGGTTTTCTTGTCACTGCTATTGTCTCTCTTCTTGTTTCTTTTCTTTTTCCTCCAGCAACTGCTGTAATCAAATCTGCTTAGCTGTAGTTTGATTTGCCACTTCTCGTTTCCATCTTTTTCTTTTTTTTCCTTTCCGTCCCATTCTCTGACACCAATCTCTTAAGTATCTGCTTGTTTGTTAATTTCCGGTATAAATTCCTTCCGAGGAACTTCAGCGATACAAGTCCTTTCTTAATTAATTCTGGTTTATTCTTTCTAGATACAACTTTGTAATACACAGTCACTTTAAACTTAACAACCTTTATAACACACGCTATAAATCATAGTGATTCACACACTTTACTTAAGGTGCCTACTGTTCGCTTGACTCAATTATCTCTATCTTCAATCTATCTGTATATCTCTGCAATCTATCTGTCTATGCAATTGTATCCCTTCGCTGGCTTTATTTGCCGGGCTTATATACTAAAAAAAGAGGGCGTCTGGAACAAACTAGAGTTGCCAGGAAAATTCATGATCCTTCTAGAAACTCCTCTCATGCTCCCAGCGTCGCGTGACTTCCGCTGTCGTAACAATATTGATACTATTGATGCAGAGATAAAATGTTGATTGTTTAAGGTCTTTTCTCTAGTTTTGGTTATATACATTTTTTCAGAATTAGGTATGAATACCATGATTGGTAATTACTGGCACAAACAGCCGTCCTTAGGGCGGTATTTCTGTTAGTAATAATAATTGGGATCTCTATATATAAAACCACTGTCAATTGGTAACGGTCAAATTGTCTCAGTGTTTAGAGTACCGAACCTTAAGTGGAAGTTTTGCCTTCAAATACCAGTACAGTTGGAATATTTGATATATATCTTTTATTGATATTGTTGCGTCAGCGAGGTCACGTGACTCGTTCTCTCGAACCTTCGGGAATTGTTGGGAGATTACTAGATATAGGGTAGTCTGGTATATATATAAGAAGGTGACAACGTGACGGAATAATAATGTGTGTGTAGGTAATGAGTAATTGAACTGCAGTCAGAGAGAGACGTATTGTTGAAGTTAACGTTTGTTGTTAAAACGTTTGTAAAAGAGCGACTGTTGAAAATAAGTGTATCGTGAAGTTATATTCAGAAAGAATAAACCAGTTTTATTAAGTAAGGACTTGTGTCGCTAAAGTTTCGTCGGAACGAAGTTACGGAAAGTTAATTAACAAACGGAGACGTAACAATATCATATTTAGAGCAAGCTCTTCCAATACCATTATAGATTAAATCAGGGATATTAGTTAATATTCGAATTAAAAGATGGGATGTTTACAGCATCAAGCCACCTTAGTTTTCATTTCAGTAACGCACTTGTAAAACAATCCATGAAATAAATTATAAACTAAAATTCTGAATAAAACTAAAAATATTTCAGAAACAGTACAAGAAAAACAAAATGTAGATGGATGCCACAACAAAATAAAAAAAAACTTAGTAAAAATTAGGTTAACTGAAGCAGAGGAAAAAGAACTGGCACGGTCAAATGAAGCTCCTGAAAAAACAGCAAATAAAATAAACTGATGCTCAAAAACGAGTAAACAGGTTCTTCCTCCCCATCCCCATGTCTTCCCCATGCGTTAAACAGGTGCATAAGCTAGTATGCTATAAAGTGTTAATACATAAGAATTCACTATTTAGTTTTATATATTTAAAAGGTTTATAAGACCCATTGAAAAGGAATTAAAGGGGATCTATTTGTTCCTTATGGCTTTTTAACTTGTGTGTACCAGAAACAATCCTCAGTTCCATATTGTCTACTAATCCCCCCCCCCTAAACCAAAAGAAAAGTGCATTTTTTTGTTAATTATCCCCTTCTTTTTAAGGTCCTCTGCACAATACTGAATATTCTTATTATATACAGTTGAAACAATAAATGTTTCATAGAAATCCTCTTTGATTACTAATAGCTGTAGGCTTAAAAGTAGGACACAAATGTTCATAGTAAATCTGCGAATTTCAAAAACTTTAAACCTCAGATCTAGTTGTCTGACGTCAGAATAATGTTTTTCGTGTAATGAGTAATAGTCAACTTGACCACATCATTAAAAGGACAATATATATATACGTATAGCCAGAGAATGTAAGAAACAGCTACTTTAATGAATAAAACATTTGCTTGAACAAAACACCCAATACTAATGTCTGGTGACAAATATAATTAATTATAATCATGCCTCCCCAACTTGATAAAGGCGTTCACACATAACAATTGTTCTTGTAACAAACAGCTTATATAAATAGTGTGTTTGTTGTGTCCCAGCCAGCTAGATGAGCTCTGGATTGAATGAAACGCGTCGTCTACTATAGATATGGAGAACATAGAGAGTTTGGAATACTATTATAATACACTCTTCTAATTTTTAAATATCCCTAAGGGACAAGATATAGAGTGCAGTGTGAAGAACATAATAGACCCAATACTAATGTTTGATGACAAGCATAATTAATTATAACCATGCTTCGCCAGCTTCGAAAAGGTGTTCAAACCGTAAAAATAAAATTTATTTATCTAAAGAGGATCCTGTTACGCCGATTTAGGTATTATACATTCATGTTGTAACTTTTCACATGTTGTAACAAAGTATGAAAATGTTCACAAAACAGAAATGTATCTGTTTAAGACCTAACAGTTTCATTATTCAAAACATAAAGAACTCTATAAAGACATTTCCAATAAAACTATGAATACCCTATAACCCAGAGTTTTTGGGTTTTATCGTTTTATATTAAGATTTCTTGAACCTACGTGTTATTCTGACATCATGAAGACATTTCCAGTGATATCATTTTAATTCTAACCACTGTATTTGGAATTGTGAAAGATAAAATAATATTGAACAAAAATTTCATTAAGGACTTTTATGGATGGTGAGTGCTTGTATACTTTCTAATTCTACGTTCTGCTGTTGACATTGTAACTCCTCTGTTTCACATTGCAGCTCTGTGTTTCAGTGTTCAGTTAAACATAAAGATAAACATACGTATAATCATTTGAACTCCATCCCTATCCCATTCTACACTACTTCCACCTACATCAGCAAGTTTTCAGACTAATCAATAGTTAAGTAGAATGTTAATAAGAATGTTACAGCAAATATTCATTCATTAGTTATCTAGGCAGCTTATTTTATTTTACCCACCATCATGCCCCAAGATGAACAAAAATACGCGGCCTGGCTAACTAATGAATGAATATTTGCTGTAAAATTCTTATGAATGCTATACGTGTAGCTACCAGTTTGGCCGCCAATTTTGATTTCATTCTTCTAAGTCGTACGCTCAATCCTTTTTTTGGCCGCGCCTTTTTTTTCACCCCTAATGTGTTTTTGATTAGATTATTATAAAGTACAAATTATATTTGCCCTAAAACAAATTAAAGAGTAAAATCTATTATTATAGGGCAATTATAATAAAATATCACTTCATATTTTTCGTTTCATATCAGCTTGGTTTGGTTGTCGTTAAGCGCAAAGCTACGGAATGGGCCTTCTGTGCTCTGCCCACCACTGTTATCGAAACCCGAATGTTAACGTCGTAAGCCTGCAGATTTGCTGAGGTACTGGGGTGACTTCTTATCGGCATCATCTGAATCCTCGCAAAGAAAAAAAAACACTAACTTGCTTCCCACTAAAGCTCATAATTATTACAACATTAACGTCATCTGTCATTCAAATACATTTCGTTAAGTTCACTGCATTCTAAATTGAAATAATACTGACGAAAAACCATTGATTACCTAGAAAGAGTAAGCGCTCTTAGTATTATCGCAGTTGTATACGTACTCCTAGAAATTCATGAATGATTGCACTATTTCTTGATGCATGTACACATCGAGATGTGTGAGAGGGCTTACGTTCATTTACCGTCTTGTCAGTGTTATTACTGTGTCAGAGTTTCAGTCATTATTTTGTGGTGTATAGCGTTATTCACTGATTATTGTAGTGAATGGCAGTTTCTTTTTTACGTTCTGTTCAGACAGGACTGTGGAAGTGTGAAGAAAATGGGTAATTCTAACAAAAAAAATGACGGAAGGTAGTTTCGACGAGTACGTATTTCTTAATAGTTTATTGTCAAAACATTCTAGTTTTGTAATAACCTTTCAAGATTCAGCAAGTTACAAGCCACAGCAGACGGGCGTAGAGTTAGGCTTAAGTGTCTAGTAAGAGAGTATGGGAATTGCGTGTTCATTCATGGTTTGTGGCTCCAAATCGTCAGTAGGCTAAACAATCACATTTATGATTTTAACCCAAGTTGCACTTAGTATGTAAGTTAGTTTAATATAGTAATAGTTGTACAGTAGTAATAGTAATACTTTGTAAACCAGTGTTACTGTTACTTAGTGAAAGCTTAAACTAACGAGTTATTAATGTTGTTTTACTTTTATTCTTTTAATTTTAGCTTTAACTTTGAGTTTTCTAATCTGAATCTATTTTGTTAATGTATTATTTATTACTTAGACAAAGACAAGCGAATCTGAGTTGTAGTTGTAGGCTAATCTGTATTCATTCATTTTGGAATTTGGTATAAGATATAGGACTAATTTAGTGTAAACATTAATTTTGTCATCACACGCATTACATCTTCTGCTATATTCTTGAATGATTAGATTTCATTAACTATTTTTGTAAATAAATACAGCTGTTATTTCAAGTTTCCACCTTTCCATAGTTTAGCAGCTTCTATTTCATTGATTTTTATCATTTTTATAGTCTTGGTATTTGTGAAACTGAATGATATTAATAACGCATAAATCAATACTCTGATGCAAAGAAAACTTTTAACTTAACAAGCATATATTTTTTGTGATAAAACCACCTATTGAGAAATTAATTACAAGAAGGTTAAAGTTACACAACATAGATATTAATTGTAAATATATATATAGTAATATTTAAACCATTATTTTACATGGTAGGTTTTAGTGTTACTTGTTATCACTATCTGCACTGTTGTTAGAAAAGCAGGCACACATTGTATTAAAAATGCATAGTATGAAATTAACTGAAAAGGTTTTTAATCAGCTAAGCAAGTCTGTTTTTTTTTTATCAAACTATAAATGTAACTTGCCTTGTTTTGTTTTGTGAGACTTGATTTACACTTCTTAATTAGCTTGTAATCAAGTTTAGGAAATAGTTATTGGTAATTTTTTTATCTAATTAGCAGTGTTATTTGTAGTTTAATGACATTGAAATATGTTTTACAAATGGACCTAAAATTAATCAATCTTAAAGAACTTTTATGACTTTTAATATTGAACTGATTCTTACTGTATTAACTATAAAGTTGTGCTTAAAGTAGACAATAATGAAAATAATATGGGTTGATTTTTGTTATTGAAGGCTCATGTGTAAGACTTTTCTTGACCTGATATAAGGACAATGGCCCATTTGGTCATCCAAGGCTGTTTGTGAACACCCACCCTTGAGAAAAACGTAAATACTTAAACCCACCCTTTATTTTTCAGGAAATGTTTACTTCCCATGTTCTTAAACTATTGTAAAGTGCTTTTCTCAACTGCAGCTTATTCTATAAGCCAATTACCCTGTTAAGAAAATACAAATTGTCTTAACTGAAGCCTAGCTTGTCTTTTACAAATCTTAAATGTGTCATCTCATCCTGCTGACTTAGGAATGTAGCATAAAATAATCGGAGGCCTTTGTCCTATCAGTCTCCCAGGTAACCTTGTAAGTTTTAGTTAAATCACCTCTTACACTTTTTTTTTCTTTTTGAGGAGAAAATAAATTAGCAGATCTTAACCTATCCCTGTAAGCTAACCCTTCCATCCCTGGAATCATCCTAGTAGCACTCCTCTTCTGAACCCCTTCCAATAAGTGTCAATATCTTTTATTAGATAAGAAGATCAAAACTGTACAAAGTGAGGCCTGACTGATGACTTGTAAAGAAGTAACTACCTCTTTTAACTTGCAATCAGTATTTCTACCAATATGCCCTAAAATATTATCAACATTACTACTAGAAACAGATCACTGCTTTAATGGCTTATCCACCACTATACCACAATCCTTTTTCAGTGTCACTAGTAAGTGGATTCCTATGTATATGTGATTGAAGTTATGGTAATAAAAATATATTATCTTGAACTTACTATAATTAAAGACCATTTTTGTTCAACTAACAAATATATCAGAATCAGTCTGTAGTACTTCAACATCTCAGTACAGCTACAAATATCAAAGTTTAATGTTACTTGCAAATTTAATTTACAAGTTATGCCTCTATCACTACCATTAATGTAAATACGAAAAAGCAAAAGCTAAGCACTGATCTATGAGATACTCCACTATTAACAAGAGTCCAGTTTGACTGGACTGCATTGATAACACTTTGCTTTCTTTCATTGAACCATCCTACAATCCAATTTATGAAACTTCCTCCAACCCCTATTGCTGTTATTTTTGTAAGCCAATCTTTTGTGTGACACCTTATCAAAATCTTATCTACATGAAATCCACAACCTTTACATCGTCCAGATATTAAGTAATAGCCTTAAAAAACAAAAACATAGTAGAGTAGTAGAGCAAGATTTCCCTTTGGTAAAACCATGTAGGCATTCTTTTAAGATAATATATTTCTTTAAATGATTTTGTAAAGCTTTTTTTGTCATACTGTATATAATTTATCCTACTACATAAGTAAGGATAACTGGCCAGTAATGTTTCAGGGTAACTCTTATCATAGCCTTTGAAAATAAGAGTAACATAAGCAACTCTTCTAGCTTCAGGCACCTGCCCACTGTCTATTGACCTACCAGAAATGAAAGAGAGAGGATATTGTACCTGATTTTTGACCTCCTTTAAATATATGTCTGGCTTTGTTTATTTTTTTCTATTTCTAATCTCATTATTTGTATGTTTCACCAAGGTATTAATATCTGCATGATTCAGGTCAATTTCAGTATTTTATGTAGCATGTTCTAGGTCAGGAATATTGCTAAAAGAGAACATTTAAAGGTCTGGCTATCTCCGAGCCTTCAACAAAACCTTGCCATCAGCATCTTTTAAGGACCTAATCTACATTTTAACACTTTGCCTTTAACATATCTAAAATAACCCTTACTGCTAGATTTACCATTAACAGCTGGCTATTTCTCTCTGAAAATTGAAACTAAATCTGAAATGGCATGACTGGTTGTCCGACCAATAGATATAGAAAACAGTAGTGAATCACGTTCGATCTCTCTACTTCATTATTTGACTGTACAGTCCCAGTCATCATCTAAATTTAAGGTCTTCCATAACTATTCCATCAGTATCTTTATTAATAACAACCATGATGTCACAATAGGTTCAGTGACAGCAACAACCTTAATCATACTACAGATTCATCCTGTTTTAGTATCCTTATTAGTAACAACTGTGATCTTGCTATAGATTCATCCTGTTTCAGTATACTTATTAGTAACAACTGTGATCATATTATACATTCATCCTGTTTCAGTATACTTATTAGTAACAACTGTGATCTTGCTATAGATTCATCCTGTTTCAGTATACTTATTAGTAACAACTGTGATCATATTATACATTCATCCTGTTTCAGTATACTTATTAGTAACAACTGTGATCTTGCTATAGGTTCAACCTGTTTTAGTATCCTTATTAGTAACAACCCTGATCTTGCTATAAATTCAACCTGTTTCAGTATACTTATCAGTAACAACACTGATCTTCTTATAGATTCAAATTCGACATGCTGTCATGTTAAACTTATATTAAAGTTTTTCTTCATTACCCATTTAAGCCGTCTCCAGCCATTATTATTCTTATAGATTCATCCTGTTTCAGTATCCTCATTAGTAACAACCCTGATCTCACTATACGTTCAACCTGTTTCACTATCCTTAATAGTAACAACCATGCTCTCACTATAGGTTCAACCTGTTTAACTATCCTTATTAGTCACAACACTGATATTCCTATAGATTCACCCTGTTTCTGTATCCTTATTAGTAACAACCCTGATCTTGCTATAGGTTCAACCTGTTTCAGTATCCTTATTAGTAACAACTTTAATCATACTACATATTAATCCTGTGTCAGTATCCTTATTAGCAACAAACTTGATCATATTATACATTTATTCTGTTTCAGGATCCTTATTTGTAACAACCTTGATCTTGCTATAGGTTTAACATGTTTCATTATCATTATTAGTCACAACACTGTTGTTGCTATAGGTTCAACCTGTTTCATTATTCTTATTAGTAAAAACCCTGATCTCACTATAGGTTCATCCTGTTTCATTATCCTTATTAGTAAAAACCCTGATCTCACTATAGGTTCATCCTGTTTCATTATCCTTATTAGCTATAGCACTAATCTCGCTATAGGTTCAACATGTTTCAGTGTCCTTGTTTGTAAAAACACTGATCTTGGTATAGTTTCAACCTGTTTCAGTATCCTTATTAGTAACAACCCTGATCTCACTATAGGTTCAACTTGTTTCGGTATCCTTATTAGTAACAACCCTGATCTTGCCATAGGTTCAACCTGTTTCAGTATCCTTATTAGTAACAACCCTGATCTTGCCTTAGGTTCAGCCTGTTTCAGTATCCTGTTTAGTAACAATCCTGATCTTGATATAGTTTTAACCTGTTTCATTATCCTTATTAGTAACATCACTGATATCACTATAGGTTCAACCTGTTTCATTATCCTTATTAGTCACAACATTGATCTTGCTATAGGTTCAACCACTTTCAGTGTCATTATTAGTAACAACCCTGATCTCACTAGAGGCTCAACCTGTTTCAATATCTTTATTAATAATAACCCTGATCTCACTATAGGTTCAACCTGTTTCGGTATCCTTAAAAGTAACAACCTTGATCTTGCTATAGATTCACCATATTTCAGTATCAGTAACAACTCTAATCATACTACAGATTCATCTTGTTTTAGTATCCTTATTAGTTACAACTGTGATCTTGCTATAGATTAATCCTGTTGCAGGATGATTATTTGTAACTACCCTGATTTCACTATACATTAATCCTGTTTCAGTATCCTTATTATTTACAACCCTGATCTTGCTATAGGTTCAACATGTTTCACTGTCTTTATTAGTAACAACCTTGCTCTCACTATAGGTTCAACCTGTTTCACTGTCTTTATTAGTAACAACCCTGATCTCACTATAGGTTCAACCTGTTTCAGTATCCTTATTAGTCACAACACTGACCTTGCTATAGGTTTAACCTGTTTCAGTATTTTTATTATTAACACACCTGATCTTGCTATAGGTTCAACCTGTTTCATTATCCCTATTAGTAACAACCCTGTTCTTCCCATAGATTCAACCTGTTTTAGTATCCTTATTAGTTACAACACTGATCTCACTATAGGTTCAACCTATTTAAGTATTTTTTATTAGAAACAAACCTGATTTTGCTATAGGTTCAACCTGTTTCAGTATTTTTATTAGTTGCAAACCTGATCTCGCTATAGGTTCAACCTGTTTCAGTATTCTTATTAGTAACAACCCTGATCTTGCTATAGGTTTAACCTGTTTCATTATCCTTATTAGTTGCAACACTGATCTTGCTATAGGTTCAACCAGTTTCAGTGTCCTTGTTCGTAAAAACACTGATCTTGCTATAGGTTTAACATGTTTCATTATCCTTATTAGTCACAACCCTGATCTTGCTATAGGTTCAACATGTTTCAGTATCCTTATTAGTAACAAATCTGATCTCATTATAGGTTCAACCTGTTTCAGTATCCTTATTAGTAACAAACCTGATCTCGCTATAGGTTCAACCTGTTTCAGTATCCTTATTAGTAACAAACCTGATCTCGCTATAGGTTCAACCTGTTTCAGTATGCTTATTAGTTACAACACTGATCTCACTATAGGTTCAACCCGTTTCAGTATCCTTATTAGTAACAACCCTGACGTTGCTATAGGTTCAACCTATTTCAGTATCCTTATTAGTAACAAACCTGATCTCTCTATAGGTTCATCCTTTTTCAGTAACACATAGTTTCTTCAACATTACATGATTTCTCCTTAGGTATGAAGCTGTAATTTGGTGAAATAATTAACTTGAATTGCCTTTTTTGGGATATGTGTGATTAGTTTTTTTATGGGCCTTTTTATTTGTCTTTTAAGATACTGACCTCTATTCAAGCTATGATACATTAGGAATGTGTTCAACAAGATTATAATAAACATATTAAAGTAATCAAATTCACAGAAAATCTTCCATTACATTTATGGTAGATTTGTTGATTACGGTACATGTAATATTAGTGACTTAACAATATTCCTTAACTGTGTTTGTACTTTAAAATAAAACTTTGTCTTTCAAAAAAAATTCTACTATTTCTAGCTTTAACTGGAAATTTAAAACAGTTGAACTACCTGATATTGAAGTTGTTAAAAAAATCTGTTTGTGTCTTTGAATAAGTTCCTAAGCTTCTAATTGTAACAAATAATTAATTCACACCTCAATAAAAAAAGTCTTTTTGTTTTAAAATGAAGATTTTATGGTTCCTCAAAGTTTTTCAGAAAAGTTTAGATTATCATAGTTTTGAAGTTGTATTTCTGGTATAGAAATGCAAGTTACAAAATGACTATAAAATCTGCTTTATATGTCATTTGTGATGCTCTAATCTTTCAGATAAGATCTTTTCATTACAGCTTTTTGAGACTTAGTTAAATGTTTGGTTTTATTTTTTTTAACCTTTGTAATGCAGAAAAATGTGATTAGTATTAGTTTCTAGTACCCCGTGGTTACCAAACAAACTTGATGGTTATATTACATCTTTACATTCTTCGGGACTAATTGTAGACTTTCTAGTATTTAAGGTGTGCTTGTACAACATTAATTATGAACATTAGTGAGTAATTATAAATGATATTTTAAAATTATCTATTCAAAATGTCACATGCATACTGTCAATTTTGGCTTCTTTTTTTTAAATACTATTTTTAGCTTTGAGCATTAGTCTCTTGAAGTGGTACTTCTTTTACAGCTTTATATACAAGTACAGTAAAAAAAAGCTGTGTTTGTATGAAATGAATAATTCCAAGTAACAATAAGAACCTAGATACATAAGAATATTTTACAGTAAGGGATAGGCTTATGTTGAAAATATTGTGTTATGAGAATATGTTTAAAGTTTTGGGGACTAAAAGAAAAGTCATATAATTGATCATTGAACTAAATTGGTTTTTACACTATTTTTAATACAAAAACTGCTATGAAATTAGGCATTATTTTTGATAGAGAATCTCTTGGTTTAGATAAGATAAGAAAAAAGTATATGTGAAAGCAAATGTTTAATCTGTATGTAATAAATTGAAAAACCATGATTTAAGTAATATGTTTTGGGTATACTTTTTAAGAGTTTCAGACAAAAAACACAAAAACATGACAGTATCCATAGTTATATCAACCTAACATGAGTTTCAGTAAAACTCCTAACTTCTTATACTTTAAGGTTTTACAGTGTATGTGTGTTAAGTCATAGGAAATGTCATGAAAAAGTTGTCATATTTAAACCCTAGTTTGTAAACATCACATTATGTTTACTTGAGTAAGGAAGCATATTATGCTAATATAATAATAGGTAGGCAAACAACAATTTATAAACATAAGGAAGATTTTTATTGATGGTTGAACATCTAAATGTTTGACAGAACATTGTTCTGTCTTCTTCGGGTATGATCAGTATTAAGCAATACAAGATTTATATATTGTTACAAAGACACTGATTAAATGCAATGGAAATGGTGTCAGCATGTGACAGGATATAGGTAGAGGTCAAGTGTATGAACAGTGAATAGACCTTGCCACATACGGTTGATGTTGCTAAGGCCATTATCACGTTTAGTGAGAGTTTGTTTGCTTTGATGATTTCTCTAGTTTCTAAACAGTCTTTCTTTTTTAGTTTTGGGTTGGTGTAGCAGAAAAAGTATTTTGTGACCTGTTTCATATCAATGATATGTTAAGGTGGATATCTGGGATTCACCTCTATATATAATTCTTCTATTGCTTAGTACTGATCAATGTTCTGTCAAAACATGTAGTATGTTCCATCATCAGTAAAACTTTTCCTTATAAATCGTTGTTTGCCTACCTATTATCACATTATTTGTTTCTCAAATATTTAGTAATGTTTGATAAGATGATTAGATTTTAAAACATGGTAAAGTCAAATAAATTTTTTAAAGTTAAAAACTCAACATCAATAAGAAAAATCCTTTTCACCTTGTTTTATAGTGGAAACTACCTGGTCCGTGTCCGTGCCCAGGTCATGACCAGAGATGATATCCAAGGTGGATGGTTTCCTATGGGTGGTGGTGGACTCAGCAATGTTTCTGTATGTAAACGCCTTGTCCCCATAGAAGATGAATCAAAGCATGAATATTTCATCTATGGCAAAAGGATATCTGACCAATCAGTAAGTAGCTTACTTATTTAATATATATGTGTTTACTTGAAGGTTTTAATGAAGTGTAGGTCTTACAAAATAATAGCAACACTAGTCATGAAAGTGTTTACCATTTTCTCCGGGATCATTCTAAATTTAAAATTTTTACAAATGTTGCAACTTCTGAGTAGTCGTATAGCACTATTAACTTCAGTTGTAAAGAACCCTTAACTCGTGACACCTCAGTAGCAAACTGTAACATGATTTTATAGGTTGTCCTCAGCTGTATTATCAGGAAGGACTTTCAATATAACAAAGTCATGCCAACCTTTCACCACTGGAGGACAGGAGACAACAGGTTTGGTTTGACCTTTCAGACTGCAGCTGATGCCAGAGCCTTTGACAAGGGAGTGCGAATGGCAGTGGAAGATCTTGATGGTGTGTGTTACATTAGTGTAGATGAACAGGTTGAAGTCTAAAGTATGACTGAAGTAAACACACAATCATTCACAGGTTCAAGTTAGTTGCATGTAAAGTGAATTTATAATCTAACATAGAACTAGAGTACACATTCTGTTTTCTCTTGTCATATGTTTGATTCTAGTCGATTGTAAGGTACGTGGAAGCTCGAGGCTTGTGGCATGCAAAAACTTTTTTGCATATAGAGGGCAGCACTGAACGAGAATAGCTATTTATGTGAGACAAAGTAAGTACCTATCTGAAATATATTTTCAGTATAGGAAAATTATAACATTTGAACCTTTTGTGTTATTAGACAACAAATTAAAGTTAATCTAGTGTGTATCATTTTAAAATAAATATATCTTTTTTTATTATATATGGTAGATGTAAGGAAATCCCCAAATTAAAAACTACTTGTCCTGGAAGGGGGGTTTCATCAGAGGCACATTGAGAACCAGAAGTTTTATTCTGGAAGATTTGGGTATTCTTGCCCATTTACTTTTGTCAAACAAACTACTTTTTTTCAGTAGTTGCACCATATTTCTGTCTCTCGTGTCAGCTTAGTGAAGTTGATGATAATCAATATAATACTAGTTTTCAGATAATTTGTTGAAGGTTTTTCATTATTCTCTTTATGTTCAAACTTAGACTGTATTTTTTATATTTTAAGAATTTTGTCCCATTTTATAAATCAAATCAAAGACAAATGATGATAATTTGTGTCCCATCAACTGCACTATTACATAGTGTACATTAGTTTAAAATATATTTCCAACTTTAGGACATATTTTATCTTGTTCTGATTACTACTAAAGAAATACATTTAATAATATTGCTTTCTTTCATAGACGAGAAACCTTAAATAATAAAGTAACTATAAATTTATTTTGTTTTTCTTGCCTACTACTGCCCTCCTTTGCTTGGCTTGGTAAGTATACTATTTCCACTTTGTTTGAATATATATAAATAGTGTATTACTGGTTTCTGAAGTTGTCATTAAGATACATACATCAATACATGATAGAACTTTTTAAAAGTTTTATCTTGTTCCATAACTTACAATCAAAAAAAAAGTATTTTTCAGAAGAGGTAGTGTTTAATTAACCATATAGCTAACATTTAATGTTGATAGGAAAGACATGGATATTTTACACAAGTCAGAAATGTACCAGTAAACATAAAAATATAAAATCTGTGAGTTGAACCTCTCACTTATTGGTTGTTGATGGAATCAAATAATATAAGAATTGAGAATGTGTTGAAAAAAATTAATTTGATACATAATGGCAAGTGATGCATTTTTGTTTTGTAGTAAGTTTCTACAACTATTTAGTAATGACAATGAATAGACTGCCCAGGTAAATAATATAAGGGTTTCAAAAATGATTAGGTTTATAAGGCCTTCATGCTGATGTTGGATTGAAAACTTTACAACTAACACTATTAGTAGTTAATTGACTTTATTCTAAGCAGGGGCATACCTAAAGTATTTGGCACCCCCCCCCCCCATAAATAATTTTAAAATTTAAACACACAGAAAAATATGTTTGCAATTACTTTTAAACAGTACTATCATAAGCAAATTGAAAATAAGAAAATGCAGGACATTAAAAAGTCAGTGAACAGGTAATACCGCATTTTATTTTATACAGAAAACACAGGAAATCCAATCTTAACGCTAAGCCTATTATTCAAAGGTAAATAGAAAGGATTTACAGTCTCTGCTTTCGAGCCTTAATTTCTGCAAATTAATCAATGACCTCATCAAAATTCACCTTCTTTGCATATTCATGTTCAATTGAAAGTAAAGCCAGATTTATCAATCTTGTCTGACTCATGGTTGAGCGAAAGAAATTTTTTTTTATCAATTTCAATTTTGAAAAACTTCTTTCACATGAAGCAACAGCCACACAGATAGTCAAAAAGAATCTCAAACACAGTGACAAGCTTGGCAGAAATTCACAAAAATCCCACTTCACAATAAACTCCAGAAACTGTAATGCTGTCCATTTCTTTGCCTCTTCAACACTGATTTCGACAGCTTCCTAGTGCCTCCGAAGTCATCCAATTTCCACATCGATATCTTCATCAGAGAATTCATCAAAAATCTGTGTCAAATTTGGAATATACTTCTGAAGTTCTTATTCTGTTGCAACAACCAAAGTGTTTGGCTGAATAACAGCAAAGATTGACAGAATTTGATCCATTGTCTTAGAACGAATATCCAATTCTTAATTAAAGTGATTAAGACATTCAAACATAGCTCTTTTTACTTCCAGTATCCTTTACCATCTTTCCTGGCATCCTTTTTTGGAGCTTTACTTCCCTTCTTCTCTCCATAGAAATGTCCATTTCCTCACACTTTGTAGTTCCGTAATGAATGGCCCTCTCCACAATTTCATTGCGCAGATCTTCAAGAAACAGTTTTAGAGCCTCACAATGCACTTTTCAAGGCTGATTCCAACTCTTTGCAAATACTTTTGTGTGAGATTAATTTCTTCCAGGACTTCACACCAAAAAGAAGGGTAAATCACATACAGCAGACAGCAAAATCTGAGCTAATCCTCTTGTGTCCACATTTTCTTTGGGATTGCACAGCACTTCAAGGGTTGAGGTCAACTTTTCAAAATTTGCCTTCTCTGGGTTCACAGCGTCATAATGAGCACTCCATCTTGTCTGGGAAAGTCTTTCGACTGTCATGCCTACATTCTCCATCAGCACTTCCCATCGATGAAGTGAGACATCAAAATAAATTGAAAATCTATCCATCTCCTCTTCTTCATCAGAGTCTTCCTCCTGTTAGTGTGGGCTTCTGCTGGCATCTCCTTACTCTTCATCAGTTTCACAACTTTCAGAAGATGAATAGCCATCCTCCAATCCTTGCTCTCTGTCAATTGAATCCTCTTGTGAAGATGCTTCATGTAATTGCCCTTCAGATTGAATATCTTCAAGACTTTCTCCTATTCTACTTAATGTTGAAGGCATCACATACTTCAAAATTGATCCAAACATTGACTGAACCACCTGTTCTCTTGCCTTCTTCATTTTTCTTTATTGGAATCCACTGGGTCGTTTTCGCTTCATGGTGGATGTTTCCTGCAAAATTTTAAAATCAAAAGGTATAAAGCATGAACTATTATGACTTGAAATTTGTTCAGTTAATAGATTATTAGTCTGTGATTATTATTATTTGGATGGGGTGGGGGGGGGGGGGTTAAGTGCAAATCCATCCTAAAAAAGCAGAAAACTATGAGCATTACTCACAAATA